TTCCTGCGGATGCTTTAGCCTGGAGGAGGGAAGAGAGGGAGGAAGGCAGGCTCCCACCAACTAACCAGCCAACAGCAACTACCTTCATCTTCCCCATAGTGCGACTAGATTTCTCCTAGCGCTTTGCAAGCTGGAGGAAGAGCTTGCCGTTTTGGGCTCTATCCCAAGTAATTTAAATTTCATTTGGGGAAGAGTGTTGTAGGAAAGACTAGCAGACTGATTCCATCCTGAAGACTACTTCTTGGAACCCATGCAACTGATACAATCATACATGATGTAAAATGACCTGTGGCATTTTGACAAGAATAAGAAAGTCACATTTACCTTATAATTAATAGTTACCACCACGGCCCGTAAAGCAAGGTATTTGTGTTCACTGACTTCAACACTTAGATGGAAACTGGGGGAGTGACATTTGCAATGATGCAGTTTTAGATGTATTTTTATGATGAGGTACATGCCTATATGAGTATGATTGATAGAGTGAAGAGGGACTGGAAGAGTGTAGTTTTTGACCTAAGATCTAAGCTAAAAAATCATGAGGTTTAGGCATTGCATTGTGAAATTAAACAGTTTGTGACCAGAAGCAGACATGGTACCTATTGAAAGGGGAAAAAGGAACAATGAGAAACACCTTTCTTGACACAGAAACATAAACGGATTTTAAGCAAATTCCTGAAAATAGCAACAGAAATGTTATGGGACTGACTTTTTTTTTAAGAGTTTTTACATGTTTTTAAATGTAAAGATGTTTTTGAAGGAAAAATATTTTTGAGGTGTAAATGGCAAACAAGGCTGGGTATCCTTTCTGAGGTTGTTGTTATCGCTCTCATTTGCACAAGACACTGGCATTGGCTGCACTGTTAGCACTTCAAAATCAGAACTCAGGTGTGTTGCATTCAAGGAACACTAGAAATGGAAAATCCGTTCCAGTCAACATGATATCCCAAAATCTTTTTGAATAAGAAAAAGAATAAATATGTATTGAAAGAATAAAATATCTTGTTTTCAAATGGATTTCCAAGGTTTTGGCAGAAGATCATGATAATTGATCTACTGGCATTTGAAAAGTCACAGCTAATCAGCTGAATGATTGTATCTGATAATCAGCATGTTCCCAGCTGACTCTAGTTGCCAAGTAAAATGCATTATTTAAACTAACTTTCATAGGTTGTTTTTCTTTTTAAGCTTTTTGTTTCTTATTTTTTAACAGAAGGTGAAATTCTGTCCATTTTATATCTTGTGAAATCTCAACTTTAATCTTAAACTGCATTTCATTTCACAGCACTTCTTTCATGATTTGACCTTGTCAATTAATTTGGAAACGGAGACTTTTTTTTTTAAACAAAATACTAACTGCAGCATAAACATATCTAAACATACAAGTTGAAAATATTAGAATATATTAATTATGGATATTTTTACTGAGGACTTGTGATACATATCCTACACTTTTTTTCCCCCCCTAATTGGTAGGATTGCTTAATAATTATTCAGTCTGAGGTGCTACACTGGAGCCTCGATGTTGCATACTTCCTGTGTGAATTTGGCCTTAAGACCATAAAGATTCTTAAAACTCACATGCTTAACTTTAAGCACATTAACTTTTCTATTAACTTCAGTGGGATTACTTACTTATTTTATGTTAAGCACACTCATAAATCTTTGGGTCTTTGTTTTCTCTGTGCCTCAGATCTTAATCTGTAAAACAGGCACAATGCTATGCAGGTTATAAACTGTTACGGTCAGGAATTCCCAGCTCGGGGTTTTCTCTGGCTGTATTTATAGGCAGGATCTAGCACAATGGGACTTTGAATTGCTATGGGACTACCAGGTGCTGGTTTAAAATATATATAAATGTATGTATGTATTAGAAACAAAGCATGCTCCCAACAAATCTTTTAGATTCCCCTCCAGATAGAGCTTTGTAGTTTGGTCACCTTTCCACTGTTTCACACAGAGCATTGGCTTTCTCTTTCATGATGTGTTTGGCCTCATTTACTTACTTACTCATACCATTAAGGGCTCCCCTTTATCTTACCTGCATGTGCATATATTCTAGTTGGTAAGAAAACGTGCAGCTCACCGTTTCCATTTCTAAATTTAATTGTGGTAACATTTGTGAAGATGCTAGCTGAAAAGTAAGCTGTTTGGTTTCCTTGCTGTCTCCGCGATAATCTTTTGTCTAGTCATGTACTGAAGCCATCCTGTGAACAGGCAAACCAGAACAGGCTTAGGGCCAACAACTGCTTTCAAACTGATCGGCTGCAATTTGTTTTTGAAAGGCAGAGTTTTCTCTGTAGCTCACTGTGAGTGGACACTAAAAACATAATTCATGGAAGTATTTAATAAAAATTCTGTGTCAGACTTATGTGGCTGTTACAGTAACTGTCAGGACACTGGGTACCAATATCTGACAGGGGTCTCGAAAGAGGAGAAAGTAAGGGGAGGATGGACAAAGAGAGCAGAAAAGGATGTGAGAGCATGAACTTGTAGAAAAAAGAGACTGAATAAGGAAATGCTGGCTGTGTGCACAGAGGAGTATCTTGTTTGTGATACTGCAGAATTAGATATACTAGATCCCTGAGATGGATGGATAATTGATCAGGCCACACTTAAAGGAGATGTTATTGAAATTAGAAATACAACCTCCAGTCCTCTAAATATGATAACGCATAAGAATTTAGATATCTTAAGCCAGGGATGAAAATGCTCCGTTTTTTCCTAATAAGTTTCCGTGGTACACCACCTCTAGTTCATTTTGCCAGCCTAGCTCATCTGGCCTCATTAACTGTATTTATTATTACTCTTTTGTGGCTATGGAATATGCATGTAAGAACAAAAAATTGTGAATACCCAGTTTCACTTTTTCCTGCATAGTTACTCTCTCCCTGCTGAGAAGATCCTTTCAAATGCAGAACAAAAAAAATATTCCATTAAAACCTAGTTTTAAACTAACTCAAAGTAGTGCACCTTGAATTTAATTCCTCAAAGTGTTTTGCAAGAAATTATTTTTTTCAGAATTAATCATTTCAAAATTAACTAAAAAATCTAGGGTCTCTAAATATGTTTTTTCTGGAATAGTTGATCAAATTAAAGTCTTTGGAACTGTGAAAGTAAAGAAAGGTGGAAAAAATGTTTAGTATGTGTGATATTTTCACCCAAATGTAAGTGGTATTCTTCTCCCTACACCTGTGCTTGACTTGATTACTGTATTGGCCTTTCTGTGAACAAGTATTAACTGTGATTGGATAAAAGAAACAAGAAAAAATCTTTTTTAGCCAGGTTAAAGGTTTGAAAAGACTACAGTTGCCTGAATCTGGACATGATGAAACTGACCCACAGGTACTTTCTTCTCAAGGATGTTGCTTGTCTGCAGCATCTGACTGCTGATTTCTTGCATATGAGGAAAGATACGAACAGCCATAACCATAAACGTTATATTCTGCTCCGTTGTCTGATGTGTGCATTGTGCTGCCAGACAATGGGGTGTCAGAGTTAACAAAGTAATTCTTCATGCTAATGCTGCTGTATTATTGAATTTTAGGATGGGCAGCTAACAGTGTGAGCCCACCGTCTATACCACAGCCCGCACAGAAACCAAACAGCCTGAATGTGAATGCTAACAAGATGCCCGTGAAAGGTGATGCGGTCATGTATTTTTTCAGTTACTTTGCTTTTCCTTTTTAGCTATGACTCTTGTATCTTTCCAGTCTTCTCAGTTACTCTATCACAATAAAACCTATTTTTGTAGTAGTTACATGTCAAGAATCTTGTGCTTCCTAATGAATTACTGTGTTTCAGCATTGATTATGTGTATGGTGTGTGTGTGTGTATTTTTTTGGTAGACTTCAGTGCTAGTAGTATGTCAAAAGAGTAATTTACTGTATAATGAGGGAGCTGAAACTTCTTTTGCTACTTTAATTTTGAGTCACACAGAATAGCATCTGCATGCACTTTGTCTAAGCTAAACAGTGTTTTGAAGCTCTAGGAGGACATTGTGGCTAAAATACAGGCTACTGGTAAGACAGAAGAGCCCTAATGGCAAATTTTGTCGATAACATACATCATACAGTAATCATCTGTTTGAAACTTAATTCACTTCTTGCAACTGAGCCAAGAGTGCATAGTCCTGCCATCTACGGAGACAAAGCCCCGCTGATTTTGACTAGGGTTTTCTGGATAAGTGAACCAGAAATATGTTGAATCCTTATTGCCAGTTTGTAGCCTATTCCGTGCATTCACAATCAATCAGAAGCTACATCAAAGATGTTCAGTGCAGAAGAAAGGAGTGACGTGTATTCCTTCCCCAGCCTCCCAGGATTATAAGACTGACATTTTTCAGCTCAGCAGAAAAAAAAAGGGTTAAGGTGTTTTGGAAACTGTTTTGGAAATGAGTGTGATACCACAGCCACAGTACCTTCACCAGAAAAAGGAACAGCCTTCAGCTACTTCGAGATCTGTGTTTATGAAAGTGGCAGATACTCCAGCCTTGCAGACACTAAGATGAAAGTCATGCCAGGCGGAGCCTATTTTGTCCGTAAATTCCTTGTGTCACAAAGAATGCTTTCATGTGACATTCTCTCTCTGAGTGGAAAAGCACATCTTATTTCACTATCAATATAATACATGTTAAGCATAGGGTCACAAAAAACAAAGCAAATGGTGATACACCTTCTTTATAGCAGCCAAAGTTGTCACCGCTTTAACCTGAACATCTGCCCTGTTGGAATAAGAAAGGGTAGGAGACCTCTGTGAAATCTGTATGTCAATATAGACACATAGATGCAATAGTCCAGCTGCTGTTGGAACATATTCCTGGTTCACGTTTTTTTATATCCATCGAAAAATACACTCTACTAGAAGCTGTACTTGGGACTAGCTGTCAAACATACCCCTTCTCTCTCCAGCCAATACTTTCCCATTAAAACTTCATTCCAGATGAGTAATGACCTTGTGTGGTTGTATACAGGGGGGACAGAACAGTCACATGAACTGGATTTAGGGGAAGGAATTTAGTCCTTAACTCTCCTTTAGTAAGTGAGGTTGAAAGTAAAATTTGCTTTCACTTTCCTTTTACTTTTTTGCAGGCATGTAGGTGCACACACAAATAAAATACCTTTCATGAAACAAAGCTAGACAGAGCAAAATTGTTTCTATTTTTAAGTGTTCCTGTACTTATCATGGCAGAAGCCATATAAAATACACAGGCAGACAGATGTAAACATTCATTCTTACTAAGTTCCATATTCTTTTAAAGGTAGAGTTTTAAAATGCCATCTTGTCAGAAGTGCCTTTAGTAATAAATTAAACAGTAGTATGGCGTTTGTTTGACCTCAGTCAAACATTCAGTCAGTTTTGTTTTAAAATAGCTGACAAGTCTGTACTTTTCTTTTTTCTTTTTGTTTTGTTTTTTTGTTTTTTTCAGAACCTACAAAGAATCCTAAAGACTTGACTGCCTGGTTCAGTCTCTTTGCTGACCTTGACCCGTTATCCAATCCTGATGCTGTTGGGAAAACGGATAAAGAACATGAATTGCTTAATGCATGAGTCAGCTGCCTATGGTAACTCACATTCTTCCATTCATCAACACTATTTTGGGGTTAAAAAAAACTAAATGAAAACTAGTATGCTGTTGTGAAACTATAAAGTATGTGCCATGATAATTAAAGGGAATGAATCCCCTTTTATATAGGTACAGTTATTTGCTCTTGTTTTGTATAAAGAGTTCACATTTATTTTCTACGTGGATTTACAAAAATGAGGTTAAGAATTAGGGCAGATTTCTTGCCAAATTAGATTATCTGCTGAAACACTGTCTTTGCCTGAGGTGATGCAGAGCTAACACTGGAGTGAAACACAAATTGCGAACCTATTTTTTTATAATGTTTCTCGAGTAAATTAAAACAAAAAAATCATGTAACTGAGGAGGCTGCATGAGTCAAACATCTATCCTGTATATAAGATATATATTACTGCTATGTTAAGATGTCAACTAAATTTGTTTTGTTAGTACTCACAGTGAAAAATCTGTGCTGGGGCTAATTACTGAAGAAATACATTTGGGTCTGTGCAGCCATGGAAATTGTGCCCTTTCTGATTTAACTTATTAGACAAACTGCACTACATAAACAGAAGTCATGCCCAGCAGGCTTCGTTTCTGAGGTTTTTCTCCACTGCACCAACAGAATTTGCACCTGTTTGCAGAAGTTTCTTGCAACTGATGCTTTATCATGCCTTCAAAACATTCGTATTTCTGTTCGGAGTATTTTTCATCCAATTTATTTCTGAAGCATGTGTTATTTTGAGCTTGTTGTGACATTAACTCTTTAATAAAATGATTTTGACAAAAAAGACCTTTTATTCCCACTGGAATGCTGGTGTGCTGTGGCATTTATCTGAAGATAAAACATATGACCAGTTTTTAGGCAGTACCTAATAGTTCATGTCATTACCTCATGTTGTTTCTGAATAGTAATCCAGTAGGACAGTAAGAAAATTTGAACTCACTCGGTGTCCCTTTACCTCCCTGCTCTCCTTTTACAGCAAAGGATGTGTCAGCAGCCACTTAAGATCGTGTAAGTTCTGCATATTTGCTCTATGTACTGTATAAGACCTGCTTTGCAATTTATTGTATTTGGCGTTTTTTTATTCAGTTAATTTTCCTTTTATGTTGGTGAAGTTTTTCACTACCAGTTAACTGTACACTCTGCTAGTTAATAGTTGCCTCATGGTCTATTAGATAACTAAGTACCTGAAAGTAAGTATATAAATAGAGAAGTTAACCGAACTGGCCTCCTGCTTCTCGAATGCAGCAGAACATCATTTGATGGCCACACTGAGCAGCATCAATGTGCATTTGATAGCTCCTAGCTAAAAAGCTACGTGCTATCAGTGGATGGGGGGGTTGGATTGACTGGAGTTCATCTGACTGAATCCTCAGCAAGTTTTAAGTAATTCTGTCCAAAACTGTAGTGTTCAAAATCCCACCCCATAGCCTGGAAGTCTCAAGGTACTTCAGTTTTTGCTAGAGTTTTTCAGATGTTTAGCAGTGTATTTTCGCGTATAATGGGAAAGGATGGTCTGGTCTTCTCTTTGCGTAGTACCCAGCTCACCCAGGTCCCCAGCGCTGAGGCTGGTAATTAAGACTTGGAAGCTGATGTAAATGCCTTAACTGTTTCTAAAGATAAAACTTGATTCCTTCCACAGTATTTCCTACTGTTTCATACTGGCAGCTCCTTGCTCAATAAGCCGTCTTTTCTGAGATGTGTATCTTTCTTGAGCATTAGGGGGGAGCCTGAACTCCTGACTTTGGACTGCAGTCTCTGGCAGTAAATAAGCCATCTACAAAGTGGATTAACTGAGAAATGCCTAAGGTTTATGCTGAGGTGTGCTTACACTTATGAGTGCTAGTTTGCACTCATAACACAGGATGTTTGCCTGAAGTCCTCTTCATCTCAAACTGTAACTATTGGCAATGCCAAAAACATTAGGAGCTCAAGGGATAGACAGGCTACTTTTCAGCCCAGCTTGGTTACCACTGAAATCATTAAACGGATTCTTGCAACTTTAAGCAAGTCTGTGGTTGCTAAACTTGCTCTGGATTATGTTTGTCTTGATAGTTGCTAAAACACTTGTGGACAATCCGCTCTAGCATTTTTAGTAGCTGAAGCAGTTAGGCTAAAAGCAAAGATGAGGCTGTATTGACTTCAAAACTGCTAATTAACTGTTCTTTAAGACTCAGAAAAATGTTTGTGTTTGTTTTCTAGGTCACAGATTCTAGGCTTCCAGGATTTTAAAAAAAAAAACTCCTGTTTTGATTGGGACAATTAATGGTATTGCACAAATTCAGCTAAAGATGTTCTGAATCCTCATCATGTTTTTAGGTAGAAAAAACATCTGAATGATCATCCCTTTTACACAAGAGAAACCATGACTGCAGCGTTT